CCTCTGCCCCGCAGCTCTGCAGCACACTTCATTAGCTGTAATGGATAAACTGCCCTGCTTATCAGAACGCCAGGTGCTGACCCCTGCATGCCTTCATCCCCAGAGCAGCTGCTGCATATCCGAGGGGTTTGCTAACAGTGTTATGAAACACAGACCCTGTCTTGCACCAGCTCTTCTCCTTTACTTTTTTGTTCATATTGGCTTTGCTAAAGCGTTGCTAAAGTACTAATATTTGCATAATATGCTGCTTCTCCTGCTGATTTTTGATGAAAATGCAGGTTCCACACTCCATCTCAAGCAAGGCAGTGACTGAGTCATTGGTCCCAAAACACTATCTATCCTTCACAAAGGCATTTATGCCATTAGCCTGACACAAGGTTACAAAATGTGAAAATATCTACAGCCTTGTGACTTAGATATTCTGCAGTTTAAAAACCAAGATCAGAAATATCAAAACCTTGACCTTACAGAAAAACAGACCACACTGTTACACCTTTATTCAGGATGATATTGAATTTTCTGGAATGCCTCATGCTGCTATCAGTCTACAGATTTATAAAGCAAATCAGGATTAGAAAGTCCTGTGTTTATGCAGAGCTGTTCATTTAACACTGCCACAAAAAACAAATGTCAGATCTTTAGGCAAGTATAAACTATATTTTCTTCAGCTTCTAGAAGAGGAATTGCATGTCGGAAGATTTTATCTTCCTCTCTTTCCTAAACCCCTGCATTTCAAATCATGTAATTGAACAATGAAATCTTAGAGGTTCATTTATTTTATTCCTTTCTTAAACCTTCGTTTTTAGAGTGTGAAGAGTACCCACCTGACAAAGAATACAGATACGAAGTGTGTGCCTCTACCTAATCCATGTTTGTAGAGGTAAATTACATCTCAATACATGATGGAAGTATCATCTTGTTGCTTCATTCCCAGAAAAAGTTTCCTTCAGTTTCTCCAGAAGCAGTTTTGCCAGAGCAGACACTGGATTAAAAGTGGAGAAAAATATCTGCTCCATATAAATTAGTTGTAGATCTGTCAGTGTCACTAGAACTGGTAACCCAGGCAGTGATTCCAAATCATGTGTTTCCCTTGAAATCCTGGAACATTTAATGCTTTCATTAGAAACTTTCTAAAGAAAGTATATTATCTAATTCCAAGTTAATATAGAAAAGTCCACAAAATAGAAGCCATTAATCAAAATCTAATATGTGGATAAAAAGAAATCCTTCCCTTCTGAGTCTTGTTTTGGAAGGTTCTGAATACTAGTGAAGACACATGAGTATTATATGACACAGACGAAATCAAAAGTGGGACTTTCAGTAGAAGTTTCTTGCATGTAGAAAACCAAGAGTGGTCACTTTGCCCATATTCTCTGCCCATTATGGGCTTACTGAGCAGCAGGAGTGTCTTCTTACTGCCTAGATGTAGTTGCACTCCCTCAGGCTTGGATGACTATTATCTGGACATTGCTCTGAGAGTTACAGCCAATGTGCACAAGGGCAGATGGACTAGGACATGGGGAGAGGGGAGCCAACAGGTCTGTGTGTGCCTAGGGCAAAAGCCTGGTGCAGACCTGCCCTGGGCAGGCAATGTCCCAGCAATGACACCACTGTGGCTGGGGGCAGCCCTGTGGAGTAGGCCCTGTGGTTTCAGACAGATTAGGTTTGTGCCTCAATGAATAAGTAAAATCTTTCACTAAGGTTGAAACCAGGAACATTGCCAGAGATCTCATTTTGTCCTTACAAGTTTCAATGGAACCAAAATAACAAAGTTGTTAAGAAGGTAAGGTGGAAAATAGGAAGCTTATGATATATCTTCAACATTTAAACCTTTATTTTTTGGAAGAAATTTTTTATAGTGTGTTACAGCTAAATAGAATATGGTGAATGGATCTATCCCAAGGGAATAAATTAAATTAAAGCAGAAAGAAACCAAACCTAATGGTACTGCATTTTGTATAATCATGACGAAGGAATTCCTTATTCTGACTCAGTACCTTATCTTTGGTAAGACTTATACTTAATTTTTTTTAATTAAACCAAAGAGGCATGTGAGGAAAATAATAAATATATTTTTAAAATCTTTAGTCATTTAATGTGTCAATTATATATAACAACTTAACAAGAAATGTGATGTTCCTGCTGGTAGATTATACCATACATTAAATACATTCTGCATGTCCTTGTTTAAATTATAGGGGGAAAATATATGATCTAGTTAACAAGACATTTTACTTTTAAGAAAATCCATTAATTTATAAAGTGTTACTTCCCTTACATTGGGCAGATGTAAAATATTAGAGTCATCATTGTATACCTACACTGCATAAATAGACAGAGAAACACGCAGAAAAGGAGGACATGGTAAAGAGCAAAAGTTATATTCATCATCACATAGAAAAATTAAGTGATATAACAAGAAGGTTAACTCTTAAAATAAATGAATGTTCAAAAAAATATAACCCTGTGCCATTCCACAGATTAAAAGGCACAAATCAGATACAGTACCCAAAGTCTTTGGTACTTTTTGACTAATGTGTTTTGAGGGTTTGCATCTTGATCTCAAGTGTCCAAAACCAGGCTCACCCTGACCCCATCAGCCCAAAACGGTTCCATGGCCAGCACGACACCTCCATGGTTGGAGTCTCTATGACAACATATTGGTCCTGTCTTGGCACACATTTCCAAGAAGCTCTTTTGAAACTATTTAGTAAAGGACAGGTTATTTTTTGTGACATTTAAAGTATCTAGAACAGTTAACAGTAATCAGTGTTAAAAAATAATTAAATATAGTAACAGTCATGTCTTTCTGTGTTAGCAGGTTGACAGAAAACGTCACTCCCTAAGTGTCTACTTTCTGTATACTTCTCCAAGAATAACCAAATCTCCATTCAAACAAATTCATGCTAACAAATTGCAAGATGAAAAGAAATATAAGGTCTTTTATGAAAGTATCTCATTCATTAATGATTTTACCAGTGTTGGATGTCGCGGTGCCTCCCCAAGTGTCGGCTAGGCCAGTGTCCTTGGCACTGCGGGCAGCAAAGGCCACTCTTGCATGCCGCTGTGGGCAGTAGCTATGCCCTGTGGGCCCGAAGTCACCAGACAGGATGAGGTGCGTGACAACAATGACAAAAGCGAGGAGTGGTCATTTTGGGGGTATCCACGTTCCAAGTTATTAGAAGGCTTAGGAGACGACTATGGCTTGAAGGGAGATAAGCCCCAAAAGGCTCCAAGCACTGTGTGCACGGCCTTTTATATGGGGGAGGTAACAAGGGGAGGGAACAACGGTCAACCAATGGGATAACAACGGGGGGGGGTGGCAACCGAGGTGACAAGCAGGGGAAACATCCAATGGGGTGAGAGGGAGGGAGGGGAGCCCAGGGACCAGTCTATCACCTGAGGCCCTGGGCAGAACTCTCTAGGTGAAAGGGAGGGGCCTCAGTGTAACGGACAGGTCCCGGGAGGGGTCAGGGGAGTGACTCGGCATAAATAAACCAATAGGGTAGAGGGAGGGATGACTGGCAGATGGAGGGGGAAGGAGAAGAAGGGAGGCCGGACCATTTAACATAAAGAGGGGGATAGGGAGCGACCATAAGTGGAGGGGAACTTAAAACACACCCCAACAGTTGGATCAGTTTCTGAGCAGCCAAAGAAATTATGCCCAAGGGCAGCAGTACTCTGGACATATGCTGGGTTTCTGTGATTTGCCCCGAGCACACAGAAGTGCAACAGAAAAATAAATTTATTTATTCCTCTATATATTTCAATGGATGGCCCATATATAGGTACAGAACAGATGAGTGGACAGTGAAGACTTTTGCATCATTTTAGATTATTAGTATTAGAGGATCTTGACTGGTGACTGTAATGAGAAAGCAGATTGAACAATTCTGTCATTACTTCCTAAACAACTTTAGGTCTCCTCCCTGTTGAGATGAGTGGAGCATATTCAATAAAAAAGTAACAAAGGGAATGGTCAATGTATACATAACACTGAGTTAGGACGCTGGGAAGCTAAATATGCAATCAAGATCTACTAATGTGTGTTAATTGACAAATGATGTGCTCTGAGTCTCTGTGTGATATAGCTACACATGTTCTGCCATTAATGAAATGTTCTGTTGATTTAATTTCAAAGCTCATGCAGAAAATTTATACTGCCCACTCATTTTCGCGGTCTTTGTAGTGGAAATATAATAACTGAGAATCCTTCTCTTCTTGGGACACATTATTTTGCTTTCAGTAGATCCATCTAAAATATCTGCCAGTTTTCTATTCAGTAAGGGGAAAATTGACACCTAGACGCTAGCAAGCCCATTAAAATATATATTTCTATTTACATATAAGGATACAGCTTCTTACATCTGTGAACTTTGGGTTAGAGGTTTCAGTTCTTAGTCTCAACTTGTATTTCATGAACACTAAAAGTCAGTCCAATAAAGCATCTTCATAGTCTCTCAGATATCAAGGTTGTATTGCAGCCCTGTCATTTAGAATCTGTTAAAAGGAGGAGCTGTAACCCAGATATAAAATTCTTACTAAACTTTACCTTACAGAGATATGACACAATAGTTTTTGTTGAAGGGCATGTACTTCCTGTTCTCTGGGTGGACAAAACTTCTGGTTCCCAATCTTTGTAATTCAAAAATAACAGAGGGACCACAAAGACCTTTATTAGGCTGACAAACCTTTCCCATAGTTAGTCTGATTTGCCTAATTAAGGGTTGCGTGTAAAATACATGTTTTTGGTGGCTTCATGCATTTCATGGGATGCTTCACTATGTGGCTCAAAGTTTCAGCACCACTGAAAGTGCGCAGAGAATGCAGGGTCCAGATTTGGACTCAGATTGTCTGAGCTAGAGAAAAGGATGGGCAAGGGAAAAGAGGTTGCAGGGATTGTTGGGCCTGGAGAAGAAAAGGGGAACAGGAGAACTCACTGCTGTCATGTTGAAAGTGGAGGGTGTCTTGGTTTGAAAAGCAAAACCAGTGAGAGGCTCTAAGTCAGAAGTACAATTTATTAGGAAAAAGGGAACAAAGAACCAAATAGATACAATAGCACAAAAGAAGGACTACTGATAGAGTAAGAGATACAACCTGACACTTGCTGGCTAGGGCAGTTGTAGCAGATATGGTTCTGTCTAAGCAGTGGTCCTGTAGACTGATGTAGTTTCCCTTTGGAGGTCCAGTGTAGAGAAGGTCTCAGCTGTTCCTCTTGGAAAACGGGATCTACTTGCTGTCTGCACAACCTCACTTATATCCCTGATGGCATTGTTTGGTTCCTCCCTCTGGGCGGAGTATCTCACAATAGAATGCTGTGATCTTATCAGTCATGTGGCTAAAAGAACAGGTCCTCCTGGAGGGACTTATTTCTGAGTCATGACATAAGGAAAGAAAGGGATTGCAGCTCGAGGTGGTAATGGAATACTCCCCAATATTATAACCTAGGACAGAAGGACAGGAAGCAACAAGTACAATTGTGAACACAGGAAATTCTGGTTTAATAGTAAGAACACTTTTTCTTCATAACAGTGGAAAATCAGCTGGAAGTAGCTCAGAGAGGTCATGTGTGTCTCTATCTGTAGAGATGATTGATCCTCCACTGTACATGGTTCTGAGCAACCTGTTCTCATTAGTCCTGCTTTATACGGGGAGTAGGACTAGATAACTCATTCCGCTCTTTTTATATCACAAAATGTTTCTGTTCTTGTGTGATTATATGACTCTTAGCATATATTATTGGTTTACTCCAAGCTTTCTCTGCTTTTGAGCCTGCCCTGACCATGAAGAGAGTAGTGCAGTGCTGTCACCACGTTATTTAAATTAAGTCAGGAAACAAAAATATTTTACTCATCTGCTCTTGCAAAGAAGCTTTCCAGAGAGATCCATGGATAAAAGGCAGTGAGAAGAATTCCAAGTTAAATACTCAAATTAATTTGATACCCCAAAGAAAAAGAGTAAGAAAGCCTCAATGCTAAACTGATATTATGGCCTTTAACATCTCAGTTTTAAGAACAATAAAGCTACTGGGGTGTAAATATCCAGTGCACATTGGCGGCCCAGCTCCACAGGTTACTCAGCAACTTATGACATACTTTGTAGAGGCAAGCATGGAGTCACAAAGGAATAAATGGGAACTCTTATCAACTAAATTGATTTTAGAAGAAGAATGAAATCTCAAATTAGAATGTCTTATTTTAGTTCAGGAATTTCAGAAATCCTATAGGACTCGGTCTCTGGGTTGATTTTTGTCTTTACATACAATAACAGCATGTTTTATTCTCACTTTTTCTATTGATTGCTTTTTACTACATTCCTTGAGAGAGACTTGAGAGAACACTACATGTAAACATTGCATAAAGTGTAATCCAGCAGTACATGTCTCCTCCAAGAACAGTATGGATTTATAACTTCAAGATCTAGAAATTTATCTCTTCATTTGACTAGGAGAGCCTTACTGATTTATTTGGATAACTTCCAGTACTGAATTATGTGAATACCTTATTTTGAATTCTTATTTTCTCAGAAATAAAAATCAGAATAGACTACTAAATTATGTTTCCTAACTTCCTTGGTCTGCCACTGAGTAAAGCCTCCCATAGAGTGTACTCTCAACAGATTAGAGTGTATGGTAATTGCTGAGAATAATTTAGTATATTATAAATAAATTTGAAGGATTACTGCTATTTAAGACAGTTCTTAATTTTCCCCAGTGGGACTCAGCTGCTGAAGTGCAAGGAATTAGGTTCCAGGACAACCATCTGTCAAACTTCTGCCTGCGTCTTCCAAGAGGATGTTATCACCAGGGTATAAACTCAGCAATAAAAACTAAAACTAGCTTCCTTCAGGCATGTGAAACGCAAGAAGTTAACTGGGAATAACCAGAATAGAACTGTTGGGGACAAATTCTGCCTGACCAAGCTGATTGCTTTTTGTGATGACATGAGTGGTGCTGTGGACAAAGGGTAGTGTCCACTTTGGCTTTAGGAAAATGGCATGATTTGTGCTAGCAACATTGTAGACAAATTGGCAGAATATGACCTGCTAAGTAAATGAGAAACTGTGTGGAAAATAGACTGGAATTTGGGGCTCAAAGAGATGTGTCAGCTCTATTGGTTATTAGTAGCTAGTGGCATCCAGCAAAGGTCTTGGAGGTTAAACTGTAAAATTTTTATAGATAACCAAGATTGTAGGACAGAGTTCACTTTCAATAAGTTTACGACTGGTATCAAACTGGTGGTGGGAAGGATGGGGTTGGGGGGACAGCATTATTATGAAGGGCAGTGCAGGCATTCAGGAGGACCTCAAAGACTAAGAAACTGGCTGATGACAATCAATCACCAGTAGGCGCAAATGCAATGTCCTGCATGTGCAGAATAACGTTAAAGGTCAACACAAGCTCTGACAAAGAGCCAAAGGAACGTTATATACAAGGCTGAGGAGTTCTGGTAGGCAGAAAGAGTCTGCAAGGATCCTTTGCAGCAAAATATGGCAAAGGTAGGCTCTCTTTGCTCACTCACAGCAGCAGCATGGATGACTCTACCTTGACCTGCTGCTCAGCATCCAGTGAGACCATACTGGTAGCTCAGGTCCTGGTTTGGGATCCTGGCACAACAGGATATAGTCTGCTGGATAATCTTCACAATAGCTCGAGCCAGAGCAGAGGATGTAGAAGAGAAGGTGGAGGGTGCTGGCTTGGTTCAGCTCAGGGATAAGTAGGTGATGCACGTGAGGACAAGGACAGAGATGGGGGATGCTACTCTTGTACACAGCCTCATGAGGGAGCTGCAGTGGGTAGAGAGCAATGAAGGAGGCTCAGGAAAGTTTGCAGAATCTCCGTTTTCAGACATGTTCAGATCCTAATGGCACAAGATTCAAGCTCCTTGTCCATCTCCATGGCTCTATCCTGCCATGACTGCAAAAGGAAGAGGGCTCCACACTCTGTGATTTCCTGCTATTTGATACACTGCCTTACTTAATACCCATTCGCTGGTGATGAACTTCCTGCTTCAGCTACAGAAGGCATTGTGCTTGAAGGCCCTTGTCCTGTTGGGGGACTTCAATTACCCAGAAATCTGCTGGCACAGGTTGCCCAGAGAAGCTCTGGATGCCCCATCCCTGAAAGTGTTCAAGGTCAGATTGGATTTGGGCTCTCAAAAACCTGGTCTAGTAGAAGGTGTCCCTGCCCACAACAGGGGAGATGGAAACATATAATTTTTAATGTCACTTCCAAAATAAAGCATTCCATGATTTCATGATTTTATTAATTCACACAAGATTGAAGCCAAAAGCCAAAGAGAACTGGTATGTCCATTACTGTTAACTTAAATAAATTATGTGGAACTATATGACATAAATACATACTTCGAACGATAACTGGTATTGTTTCTGCAACCAGTATTCTGGGAAGAAAAAATATTTAGAGTCATTCAAATCCTAGCCAGTTTTATTTTAAAAGCTCTTATAAATAATTCTCCTTTTTAAGAATGTAGCCCTTGAAAATTTCAATTACATATAGAAAGGCTGAACTTAGAGATTATTTCTGCTGCTTTTTTCAACACATACTATTGACATTTTGACGGCGTAGTTAAATGATAGAAATAGTTGTATGCTATGAAATTCATCTTATATACAATTATTTTTATCATATTCAAGATTAATCAGAATATGTTGCTTGTGGAATTTGAAAGTTTTAGCTAAAAGTCTGTCTGTCAAGAATTTATTAAGCAGGTTGCTTTGCCCCAAGATATAAGCTTATCCTCTAAGTGGACTTGTTTTATAAATATTTTGAAATATTCTCTTTGGGCAAAAGGAGAAAAAAATGACACAGAAATAAAATTGAAAAATGTTCATTTTTTTATACTGGATGTGAGTACAACTCGGACTCTACCACTTTCATATATCCACTTTTCTAATAACTAACAAACATGTAATTTCCATGTCTGAATTTCTCTGACTTAAAGCTCAACACTGTGAGATACCCAGACTGGTAGGCTTGCACCTATTCCTGAAAAAAAGGTGGGTTTTCCTTCCCATCTTGCCAAGTCTAGAGCCCTGCATTGCCATGACAAATGGCAGCATCTGGCCTTTGTGTCCACAGCCAAAGCTGTGTGCTTGCTCCCAGGCCACAAATGGAGATGGCACTGAAGTCTCACAAGTTTCAGCTGCAAAGATTAAACAACAGCAAGCAAGAAAGTAGCATCAATATAAATTAAATACACAGTATGTGTTGCAAGTGAAAAGGATAGCAAGGAGCAGATGCCTACTGCCAGGCATTTCTCCTTTGAGAAAATAAATCATTTTAGGAGACAGTACAGAGATAATGATGGTCTTCTGTTCAGAGCACAAGTCAAACAAGCAGGAAGAGGATTTCTGCAGCAGTTTTTGGTCTCAGTGTTTTCTCCTCTCTATGCTGAATCTTCCTTTCTTGTTCCTCCACCATTCCAGACTCCTCCCAGTTTTGTCTTGGTGAGGGAACATGCACACTGTGAAGCCTCAGAGTTATGTGAGCACTTGGGACAACTCTTAAGCATGTGCCAAAGCAGGCATCAAGCAAAGCAGACTGATGAGCAAAGACTCCACCAGAGGAAGACTGTTGTCAGCCCCAGAAGGTCTGGTAGTGCTATGATTATTAGTCAGCACCACTATTTTTCAAGGACATTCATTCTGTTCTCTGCTACTGATTGCCACTCTTGATAGAGGTCTTTGTGACAAAATTCAAATTTTTCAAGTTGTCATCAAACACCTAATGCCCTGATTTATCTAATTTCTCTATAAGAAAGTCAATCGCAGTGTCAGCAGGATGTGAAAAAAATGCATCTATTCATGAAATACCATTTATTTTCAGGTACATCTGTTAGCTCAAGCCCAATGTACCTTAACTGTTTGTAACATAAGCCCTGATGAAATCAATTATTTATGCACTATGCCATATGTCTGAAAGTTATTTTAAGATGTGTTTCCATTAAATCTGAACAGCCCTATTTCCTCAGTGTTCAGAGTAAAAGGAACCTCCTTATCTTATCAAGTAAATTCTGAAAAGATATTAACTATTTTAACATTTTGCTTAGAAGTATTGTTATGAGCAAATATTGTTGGGGTTTTTTAAACTTTTATTCCGAAATGAATTAAACATCAATAAATGCAAATTAAACAATTTAATGAGGCATATGATCATTAAAGGTGACATTCATCCCTCATGATAAAAACCCAAATAACTGGGTAATGTGGATAGGGTTAATTAGATAATTTTCACAGACCTCTATAAAGGGATATCTAATACAACACTTAGATAAATAAAATAAGGAAATATTACTGTAAACATATTAGTGTAATGCTATGACAGGGATTTTTGAATGTGCAAAGGTTGGAAAATTGTAAATTACACCTCCCACAGCAACTGAATCTCAGCAATAATGCATATATAAAAATGTCAAGTCTAATGCTACAGAGTGTACTGTATGAAAAATTGTTTTTGTGGCAGAGTAGATTTATATAGGGCTGTTTTGGGATTCAGAAGCTCTGCAGAATGTCTCAGGGACACTGTTCCACAGTACAGCAAAGTATTTAAGTAAACGTCTAATACTGGGCATTAATCCATTCTTTTTGACATCACCTTCAATCACAGCATTATAGCTAAAAATAAAATTAGTGTTTCACTGAAATAGAGCCATGTAAAAGTTATAACAAATATTTTATGTAGCCAAAGTCTCACTTCGATTTCTCAGTGGGAGAGGCTGTATAATGCTAAGCATGTTATATATGTTGACATAATTTCTTTCCAATGGCTTTATTTAAGCCCTGCTGTATTCACCTGTATTTTTTACTAACCCACAGAGAAAGCTACATTCAAGCAGCAGCTTGAATAATATAAGGCTAATATAATCAGCCTCTTCTGCCTCCAATGTCAAGCACAAATAGTTTTAGTCCACACAATATGTGGTGCAAGGCACAGCTTTCAAGCCACAGATTTATGGGAAATGCATAATTAGTATAGGCAAAATGGCACAGATAATAGACAAACTATTTTAGTATGCACTGTGACACCTATAATTTTTTTTGTTTACATTCTGTGAGATGACCCATCTAGTTACCCTTCAAGGACATTAGGAACTCCAAATTAGACAGAGACAAATGAAACCATAACTTGGATTCATCTTAATGATTACCAGCAATTTCAGTTACAGCGTGAAGAAATTCTGCTGGGAGTGTAGTGTGACTAGAAGAACTATTTTGGGAAAATAAGAATAAAGAAAAAGTTAAATGTTAGTACACAACAAAAACAGTCTTTATGTAAAGAATGGCCTGCTGATGTAGTTTGCACAAATTATATTCCTTGCTATGTTGGTGCAGAAATACCTGCATATCCTGGAGGCTAAGAAATACAGATTGAGAGAAAAAAAACCACACCAAAAGTAAGGTTTTGGTACAGATCTAAGAATAGTAATGTATCTATGACATCTTATTTTTTTCCTTATGCACGTATCTCTAACACCAGTTGAAATAATTCTAAAAGTATTTAATTATTTATCTAAAATAGTATTTTATTTTTACCAGAGATAAATAGGGTAAGGTATGCCTCTAAGATATTTGCATCTTGATAAGCACTCATTTTTAAAGGAAAATAGTGCCCTACTGTCTATCTTTAACACTGCACCACTTTCACAAGACCTCATCTCCCTCATTTAGTCATTTTTAGTGACTCCCAAAAATATAAAAGTCAGAGTCTAAACAGTGGGGTAATAAAGGAGGAGCTAAGTGTATATGCAAAGCTCTGTGTTGGTCAGATTTAATGAGGAAGTTTTTCTATGAGGTTTCCAGCAGTGCTGGTGACACAGATGGTGCAGGCAGACCTTGGTTTCCAGCTGCCAGTCCTATCTCCAGACCTGCTTGCTGCCCACCCCAGACTACTCACCTGTCTGCCCAGGTCCTTCTTCAAGGACTTCTCCACAGTCCTTGACAGAAAAGCCATTTAGCAAAACAAATATGAAATAATTGGATTATTTGTCTTTGTTTTCTTTGCCTATTCTCTAGATAAGTGTTTGATTTAGCAGATTTCTTTACTATTTCCAAGTCTTACTTGTGTTGATTAGCAATAAAGGTGGCTTTGCCTCTACTCTGAGGGAGGTACAAAAGCACACTGGCAGTTATTTCAGTTCTATGTATGGTGCAGTGAATATCTGTGAAATTTTTGTAATATAGATCAAAGACACAAATCAGTCAGATTGGTCTGGATTTCCTTTTTATTAAATTAATTACACCATACATTATTGTATGTGTAACATACAGTACACCATACTTTGTCCCTAGATTCTTGTGTTTGATTTTCCCAGAATAGAGTTTTTATCAAAACACCCTCCTATAATAATTTTCATTAGAACATACATTTTTAAGTGTCAAATGTACAGTTTTCCAATATTATTTTTTATTAATTTGAAAATCACTTTGGTCTCACTAAATGTCTAAAGGATAGCTGAGCAAAAATATTGTTTTTCATTTAGTCAATTCTTGGGAATACTGTGTTCCCTATGTTCCCTACTGACTTCCAAGTAACTTATTTGTGTCCCACAGATCTCAATCAGTAGCACTTTTAGATGTGAAAATATCACTGCAAGGCAACAACTGCAGTATCATTTCTGTAAAACAAAACATTTCTGTTTATTGGTCAGTCATACCTAGATTTGTACAAGAGATTTGCATTCAAATAATTTCTATGAACTCCACTTTTATTAATTCACCACAAAGCACTCATAAAACTATACAAAACTATAAAACTATACAGTACTATTTAAAAATACCACAGGAAAAAAAAAGCGAACAGTTTTGTTTTGGTAATGATTGCAATTTAGGGTCCTATAGGCAAATAAATAGGCCCCCCTATCTCCCAGCTGCCCTATCATAAATTACAGCAATGTCTTTACACCATTAAAGGTCCTACTACCTGCTTCATAAACAACTGGAACTAGAAACTGTAGAATTACTTTTGTATATCCACTTCCCATGTGCAAAAAACAAAACAAAAAAAAAACACCAAAAAAAAACAGTAATTCTGAACAAAATGTGGGACTTTCCAGATCCCCAGATTATACCCAAGGAAAAAAGAAACATTTGAACATTTGTGGCTCAAAGTAAGTGGAAGAAGATTAAAAAAGAGCAAGAACTATAAGCTTCCATGGTATGGAGCAGTGCTTTAATGAGCATTAATTTACACAACAAATATGCTGCCTAGAATGAAACTATTTCCCTAGTTTATTATCATTGGCACATAGTTTCTCACTGGCCATTGGAGTTCTGCTTTTTTGTATTTATATTACACCTATATTCTTACAGTTTTTAAAGTACAAGGCACCTCCTAGTTTGATTATCTGGCATAAAGGCAAATTTAGTGTTTATGCACACATAATTCTGCATATTATTCATTGTATTTGACAGATTTTTAATTCACATTCATTAGTTGCTCTTGCCATTATACCTGATGAAAAAAAAGCAAGAAGTTGAAGACTCTTTAGTGACCTAGAAATAGCTAAAGCAGATGGCAAATGTGCTCCAAAGTGACTTCGCCTCATTGGTAAACAGCCTTTAAAAGGCTTTTGTGAATTCAATCTAAATTTCAAGATACGCAAAACAAAGGAGAGAAAAAATAATGCTAGAGTATGGCAGAAATGTTGTGTGAAAATTGTAAAATACGGAAAACAGAAATTTAAACTCTACACAGGATACAGCAACATTCTACAGGCAATTTTTTAATGCGGTGGTACATATATGACACTGTATGTGTTCATGAAGTATCACATTTAGTACAATTGGTTTCAAATGCAATGTATAGCTCTATTTCAGAAATCGTACTATGGAGTGCTTATGAATCTATTATGTGCAGTACTATCATAAATAATTTAAATTAATTACATTTGTCAACTAAAACAAAAAAGTGCCCTTTAATTATACATTATCCTTGACTCTTTTTTATTATGTTTTTCCCCTTGCTTGTGGACTGGTAAAAATCAGTATTCTGCAATCGATCTACCTGACATTAAAATAAATTAATGATGCCCTACCATGTTTCCAGTGAAAGGAAGGGACTTTTTCTTTTAATTTCCATTTGAGCTGATATCAAGGGCACTGATACCACTGTGTAAAAATGTGCTTTAACACAAATATAAACTGTCATGGAAAAATACCGAAACCAATACAAAAGCAAATCAACAATTAAAAATTCAGTAAAGAGATTTTTTTTTTCATTATAATGGTCATGAGATTTATGAAAACTTCTCCAGTTACATCAGCTCACATGACAGACCTCTTCTGCCCATAATCCCCGTATCACTGCAGGTCATGGCCAACCCACCCAACAACATCCCCTCAAACTTCAGATTTGAAGTTTTCAGATTACCATTTTCTTTCTAGAAAAACCAAAGAATTGCCAAATACAGACATGGACCTAAGGCAGGAGGTGACAATAGCCTTTTGTAATCTCTGTGATTTTCCAGCAGCTGGGCCAGGGAATATGGCTGAAGCTGAACTGTCGAGAGTGGGCTCAGCTGCTCCTCAGTCACATCAGCTCTCCTGCTCATTGCTGTGAACCCTTGTCTCAGTGGTCACCTCCTGGTCATCCCAACAGCTGTTTCCACAGTCTGTGATTGGCACTGGATTTACTTTACTGAACTGGACCTATGCATCACTCTGGAGTTACAGCTTCCCTATTTCCCTTGTTTTCCTCAGACATGAAAACACCTCAAGGGACTTTGGGGACTTACAAAATGGGGTAAGTAGAGAAGTACCATTCTTTAATAAGTCACACCTTTTTGTTATGCTCCAGTGGTATTAAAAGCCAAGAAGTCCCGTGTGAGAGATGCTCCTGTCACTAGAAGGCTCTGAGAAGCTTATAGGAGGCACATCAGAATAAAGGCATCAGTGTATGAGTTGTGATGCAATATATTCTTGTAATACCTGTAAGTGGACACCAGCTCCTCTGATTTCTGCTTACATATCTTCACTATCTCCTTATACATCCCTCACTTTGCTGCACAGGACTTTGCTGCAAGAAAACATCAGATTTGTTTGTTTGTTTGTTTACAGCATTTTCACTATTTGCTGGGTGAAGACATCTTACCATAGATCTGACAGCAAAACTGCCAAAATGTTTTTTGTTATAGCATGAAATCTTCCTTAAATTGCTATGTCCAGCAGTTTGTGACTGTGTGTTCAGCTGGGTACCTTCCAGAGACTGAGCATCTCCCAATAACAACCTAATATTGGCATTCATATATTCAAAAGAACATGTGACCAGCCAAGAGCTGGGAAGTCCTCAGAGGTAAAATCCTTCTGGTTAAAGTAGAATAACTACTCTTCATTCATTTGTGTGGCTGAAATGTACAATGCCCCAAGGAAAAAATTATAAAAGTCATTGGTGAGCAGCAAAAAAGCTTTAAGAAACCAGTCTTAGTCTCAGTTTTTCTATTTTTTCTGTTCATAGATCCTATTTTTAAAATTTTAAAATTAACAAAAAAAAAAAAATCTTAGAAGCAAATACTAATTTTATTATGCTTGCACATTAACTGCTAATGCAAATATTTTCATTTGCAGCAACTCAAATATTTTCATTTGATACACAAAAATCAGAAGCAGCAATAATACTCTGAAATATTGGCAGTGATTATTTTTGTAGTCATACAAAATCAAGTTTTCAGCCTGGTATTATAAGCCTTATTTCTGAATCCCTAAAGTCTTGCAAGTAAAGTAATTTTTTTTTTTTTTAATATTGGATTATACATTGCTATTTTTCCAAAAAAAAAAAAAAGAAACCAACTGTAAAGAATGTTTCTTGAAAATAACTCTTCAGACATCCCACAAGAAATAAGATAAGGAAATGGAAATGGGAGTTTGAGCACAGGAGGTCTTGTAAGGAAGGAAGAGGCCTGTTGAGAAGATCTCAAGACAGAAAAATGGCACGCAAGAGAACAAACAAATAGAAATGTAAAGATGCAAGAGAGGCCATGTTTTCCTGTTGTGATCTTGAGATAGAGCAGATATTAATCAGTCAAAACCCATATAATATTTCTTTGTGCAATTGCATCCATTTTGACAAAAATCCAAACCAGCCAACAAACCAAAAACCCATCAGCATGACACCTGGAAAGATCTAAGTCAACCTTTGCGTCCCATCTCTTTGTGCTTCGACAGAAATATACACAAGATGGAATGTGTTATCTCTTCAGTAAAAGGGTGGACTTGGCCTGTGAGAAAGTAAAAGGTGATAGGAACACATCTGGAAAAGGGGGCAGCTGAGTGACAGAGTGATGGAGAGACAATTCACTGGAGAGAATTATATGCTCACTGCATCTATGCATCTTTCTCAGGTGCATGAATTAAGGACTTTTGCTCCCACACATGTAGCAAAACCCCAGAGGACAACAGAGAACTTGATTGTGCTGTGGTGTGTGCATATGAAAGCAGTTTTCTCACTGATGCAAAACATAAGGTTTTGATAAACACTATTTCTGGATGTTGCAGTGCTTCCTGGTCTCTACACCATAAGAAGCCACTTCAAACAGGCTGTTACGCATTTCTGAACAAAACTGATCATCATTTGAGCATCAGTTCTGTCTTGAAGCTCTGTTAGAGCTTTCTGCAGCAGCAAAAGTGGTTCCTGGAGACATACCGGATTGTTAAACAAAAATGTAGTTTTGAGCAGCTTCTTAGAAGTCACATGCGAAAAAGAGCCATTCTGCAATGACTACTGGAATGAACCATAACCAGAGATTAAGAACCATCTAGCACTTTTCAGGGAACATATAGAGTTTAACAGAGATTAAATGTAAAGATATATATAATACAAAAGCATTCATTCTGCATGGGATAATTTTACCCGGTTGGATTTTTTTTCTTTTGCTTGTTTTTTTTCTTGCTTGCTATTCAGCAATTAAGATTAATTACCTTGCAAATACTTTTAGACCTCTCTCTACAATGACCTACTAAGATATTCTAATGGAAAGAAGAAATGTGCCCTCAATGCACAAGGATCAGCCCCTTGCCTGTCATGACAAAGATGTCCATTCAAACAGAAAACAGGAGAAAGCTCCAGCTGATTATTTTGCATCACCATACTCCAAGAAATGCCAACCAAACTAACACTTACCAAAGAATGCAGTCAGTACCTCTGGTAGAGAAATATAACGTTTCCCATTTCCCCAGCCAGTTAACTTGTCTGTCTCATGTAAGTGTGAAACCAATGTAAGAACATTACCTAATTCATAATGCTTTGCTAAAATACTATGCACTAAATGCAGGAGTAATTTTCCACTTGAGGTTCTCTGTAGGCTTTCGTTGATTTTTTTAACTCCATGTATTCCATTTTTAGCAGCAATAAACTATTCAAACAAAGCTAACACATAAATGATGCAGGCTTTGAGAGAAAAGTGAGTGCCACTCAAAAAAAAACCCAAACCAAACCAAAACAGAAAATACAAAATTAAACACTTAAAAATCCATAACTAATAATCTGTAAATTAATGAAAAACACATGCGTCAACCTCTCATTACCTTGATCTATAAAATATGGCTACACTTTTAAAGTTTTATTGGTAGAATTAGAGTTTAACACTAAAGCAAACACATCATGCAAAAGAGGTATATCCTTTCTTCATTTTTGAGGTCAACTGGCTTTTTTATTTCCAGTATCTTCATCACTGCTGTTTGATGAATCAGCTTTCCTGTTAACTAGAGGAGCAGATCCACCATCTAATGAAAACACTCTGCATTTTATGATTCCCTGGACTGCAGTTCCACACATTTAAAGAGAATTTCAATCTCAGTGTAAGAAATAAAATCAAATCTAGCATCTGTGGTTTGAACAGAACAGATAAAAATTCTGCTCATTTAATTTTAACAGTATTTTTTAATGCTAGAGAGTACAAAAAGAGGTCCTGGATGTAATTTAAAAACACCTTTAAATGAGAAACAAGTTGTAAAAACCAGCAAAATTGTTCAGTATGTGGAGTAGTTTCATTAAACATACAAATTTGATGGCAAAGAGTTTCATGTTCTAATTTAAAAGGAACAAAACTACAATTATACCATTTATTACATATTGCTTTCATCTGTATAATAAAAATACATCATGAACAGGCTTATCCCATTAATCTCTTTAGGTTTCTTAACACTTTTCAGTGAAAAAAAGAGAAGTTGTTTATCAATACCCTAGTTTTCTTGAGGCTACTGTGCATGAAAAGGACCAATATAGTCTGCCAGGAAGTACTGAACATTATGGGATTTTGGGGGAGCAACTGAATCTTCTTTCTTTCTGTTCACTAAGAAGACCTTTAACATTGGGATACAGGAAAAGAAATACCTAACACTAGTTTTAAGGCAAAACAGCATTATAAAGGTTCTATGAATAAAGTCTACTCCATTTGCACTTCTTCTTTTTTTTTTCTGTAGTGGCTTTTGTCCCTCCCCTAAAAATCAAGAAAAATTACCATTTTTCCTCCTTTTTAGTCCCTCCCCTTTTTATCCCAACTTAATGTATATGCTTTCTCCTGCTGCTCAACTCAGCTCTAGAAGGGACAAACTATGCCACTCTTGGTTTGCTGTACCACTTAGTTTTTGCTGATATTGTTTTCTAATATAATTTTTTTTTCTGTAAAAACCTATTAATTTAGCATCGAAAGAGTAAGAAAATAATGTTATAAAGCCTTAAAACCAATATTGGTTTTCAATTTTTTTGTTTCCTTTCATTTACTCCTCTTTTTAAAAATAGCTACTTAGCAAGAGTTGTATTTTCTGTAATAATACCCGATGTTGCAAGAAACAGATGGATCTCTAGCCATAAGTGCTAAACTTAGTCTGGAGCACAGGTAAAGGGCAAATAAGAAGGACCATCTATAAAATGTGTGTTATGTTTCCATACTCCCCTCCTATATGTAAGTGCACTGTTCACATACACATGCCTATATCTGACACAACTTTCCAGAATATCTGTGTCTGAAATATATATATTTATATATTTGTTAATTTATTCATACTTTCTTAGATCTCAAAATCTTGGGTTTTCACCTCTTATTTATGAAAGTAAGGAAAAGAAACTTGTGCTTCATTCTAAAAATCCAGATTATTTCTCAAAGCTAGATTCTGTCCAGAATAAGGACCTCCTCCCAACAACCTTCACTCTAGCTGTTCCAAGAGTGTGACCTCAGAGGCTTATACTCTTGCTCAGAATTGGTATTAGCAGATACTGGCCCTGATGTCTAACCCACACCTGTTCTACCAAACCAGTCAGGTTTTAGGAACTAGAAGAAGATAACAAAGCCGAAAAAGGGTTTTATTTTTCCTATGTTTTTTTGAAATATCAATTTCTTATACTTGTTTTAAGGGTCAGTGGAAATATTTTTTCCTTTGATTTTTAGCAGTGAGCTCAACAAATACAAAATTTCTGTCCACTTTCAAAAGTAGATATCGATGCTGACATATTAAGAAAGAACAGTACAGCCATTCACAAACAATACAGTTTTCTGGTAGCTCCAGTCTCAAAATTTGGAACATGGGAAAGCCTGGTAAGGCAAACCAAAAATACCATGAGTGCAGTAAAACACTGAAACAAGCTCTCCAGAGAAGTTGTAGGTGTCCCATACTGGAAATGTTTAAGACTTAACTTGACAAGTCTCTGAATGAGCCCTGTTTTGAGCAGGGTATTGGAGTAGGGGAGGTCCCTGCTGCCCTGAATTGTTCTGGGTGATCCAGAGATTTTAAATATTCTGGTTATATATACATTTAGACAGAAAGCATATTTTAAAAATTCTTTGCAGTAACTTTACTTTTTTGTTAAATTTACTACAGCTCATGGTGATCCTGGTTTAACAAGGAAGATCTAATTTGCACTTGTTAAGTTTCCTTAGAACATATCATGGGCTTGTCTTCTAATCATGTGTATAGAAATCTTAATAATTTAAACCACAAGATATTTCTGATAGTTTGATTCCTTCATCAATTAGACCTCAAGTTTCTTCCCTGGCAGGTTATGTATGGACTGTACAATCTAAGTATTTCATCCTTTTCCACAAACTATTGAACCATTAGGAGAATTTTCTTCTTTTCGTCTTTCAGTGAGAAAAGAAATTGAGATCAGTCATGTAAGTGTGTCTTACAAAGAAAGGGAAAGTTTTAGCACAATGCCACATTCATAGGCACATTAAGCAATTGTTGTAACTTCTGTGGAAGATTACTTTTCTTATTGTAATATAATAAAAATTTACATTATGGGATGTAGTCTGAAATCTACACATTTAATTTAAAGTCTCTTCAAATGTGATACTGCTTTGAATTTTAACATTGGTAGGGTGGTTTTGGTTTTTTTTTTGTTTTGGGGTATTTTTTGTGTGGGTTTTTTTTTTGTTGCTCTTTTTTTTGTGGGTTTTTTTTTGTTTGGTTTGGTTTGGTTTTTTTTGGTTTTTTTTGTTTTGGTTTTGGTTTTCTTTTGTTTTTGTTTTTGTTTTTGTTTTTTGTGTGTGCGTGGTTGTTGGTTTGGTTTGGTTTGGTTGGTTGGGTTGTTTTGGGTTTGTTTTTGGTTTTTTTTTTCCTGTGCTTTTATTTTTGTTTGTGGGGTTTTAATCTGGGTTTGGTTTTTTTTTTTCCTTTGATTTTATATAATATTTAGGGTTTAAAAATAATCAAAACTGCTTCCTAATTGAACCACACAGTGTGACAGTTTTTATTTGTAAATAAAAACAACAAAGTTGTAAACTTTGGAACTCAAAATCATCTATGTGCTAATTTGTTGTGAGAATTGTTGTGGAAATCAAAGGTGGAAGATAAGGATGGCTTGCCACAATGATGATTTAAAAAGAAAATAACTTCTGTTTCCAACTCAAATAGTCCAGGTGGGAGAGGGTGGCAGCACTGTTTCCTCCAAACCACTTATCCATAAAGTGCTGAGTTTACAGATATTCTAAAATGCTACCATGTGAATAATATTCCTATGCACATATTCTTAGTTTATGGGCACTTGCCATATGGCATTCCTGCAGTTCAGCTTTTTTTTTTTTTTTTTAACATACAGTACATGGGCTTTCTGCTCATAATTAAACTCTCAAGTCATGTAATCACATCCTCTGTATACTCTCCTAATGAAGGAAGTGAATTCTCAGGGGTGTAACATCTTAGGCTTTACTTTCCTCTGTCCATGTTCAAGAATGCTAATGTGATTCTCTGAATTTTTAGCAAAGAAACTGAGTATTTACAGTAGTCCTTCTCTCTCCAGTGATGAGTTCTTCTTCCTTAAGGCTTGACCTTGCAAAGAATTTTTATTTTAATGCACCTCTTTTAGAAGAGAGCTTTCCTGTTTTCTCAGCCTGACACAGATATTATTAAAAGAGGTTTCCATGGACACTGGCATCAGTAGGAAATGAAAGACGGCTGTCTTCCTTTCTGACCCACAGGAGTTTCTCACTGTTGCTATGGCAAAGTTTACAGATGTTGCTGGTATTATTTTGCATAATATGATTTAAAACCTCCAGTCTGGGCAAACATATTCTTTAGGGATTGGTAAATACTTCTGAATAGAACAAGTAAAAAGTTGTAATTGATAACAGTCTTTGAAGTCTTCTCAATCATCAGGATAATTTGTAAAACAAATGGATTATTTTACTACACATACTTTTCTGTGGGGCTCTCTCAGAGCCCTAAGTCAAATGTTCAAAAGAGAATGAGTCTCAGTACCTTATGAAGTTTTCTTATAGTAATTATCAATTAATTTATAATTAAAATTATTTACACCAGCTACCTCACATATAAGTAATCTTCAATATATAAACCAGCAAATAACTACATTTTGAAATTTCCTTATTGTGGACCTGGATCAAAGACCAGGTAAAAGGACTGATCTCAGCTCATCTAAGCAGTACGTGAAGCTGTTTGCAAAACCCAAGTTAGATATTAATGATAAAAGGATATAAGCATTTTAACAACTTAATATCAAGTACTCACTTTTTGTGTTACATAGCCTTTATGCACTTTATGCACTTTTTCCTGTACACAACAACAACAAAAAAAAATAAAAACAACCCTCTCCTCTTGAGATCACAAATATTTCAAGTAGCATTAGTGGGACTTCTTCAGGAGTTAAAATTTACTGCATGTGTCTCAACACTTGGAGATGGATATAGGATGTTCTGCCAAAATGAGGAAATTGAAAATTGGTAGAAGAAAAAACTAGAGGGGAATACCAGTAAAAGAAAGGGTGTGACCTCTCCAGTGAGGCATTATTTTATCATTTTATGTCACCTTGATTAGTCTGTTTGCCTGAATCTTCTGTGTGTATGTTTTATTGTTGTATTTCCCATCCTGATCAAAAAGGGCACATTTATTGTTTAGTAAGCAGAATTATATTTGCTGCAATTTACATAGTCAATAGCAGTCAGACACTAAGGTCAGTGTCTATCACATCTTGAAAAAAATTGGGGTTAGAGCAGGTGATAGTATAAGTAAATTTTGGTTTTATGGATGTAATAAAAAACCACAGAATCCCTGACTCCTGCTGCCACTCATGTTGTGCTCTAATAGCAATATATGACCTTTGACAGTCAATTAAAATAGGAAATAAGGCAAAAAAGGGGTCACTATGCATGTTTGGCCAATCTGAGCTTTTTGAACAAAACGTCGTAATAGACTTTCAAAGCAGGAAGAAAGGGGGTAAGATGGGAGGGCAGGAGGGACAGATAAAGGCAGGAGGAGAAGGGAAAACAAAGCAGAAAGGGAGGAAGGGATAAAGGGACGGGAGAATGAAAAAAAGCCTTTCTGCATTTGTATTTTGGGTAACCTTAAGCGCATTAAAGAATCCTGCTGCACGGCAAACATATTCTTCCTCTATACTAAAAGCTTCTACTCCTGGCTTCTTGAGTGGGACTAGAACAATGCATTTGGTCTTAGAATGTAATAAACATCCCTTTTCTTTAACAATCTTTGCTATATGAATTGAATGAAAAATAAATTACTTATCTTTATCTGATATCTCTGTGTGAGGGGATAGCAGGAGAAGAGTCACTTGATTTTGAAAGGTAACCCTGAGTAGCACTGCATGCAAATGGGATCAGCCAAGCGAAATTATTTGCCGATTAATCTGATACCTGTCACCAGATCTCAGAGAAAAAGATGCCCTATCAAGTGCTTTTATTTGAGGGAATAGGTTTTACCAAAGAATAAAAGTCCCCTAACAATGCCCAGTCTAATTCTACATTTCTATTGTGGGCTGCATATTCTTACAGATTTTTAAGGTTATATGAATGTACAGAAACAACATAATTTTACTTGCAGTAAGATACAGCAGGTGACCTCCCTAAAACCCAAAAACAATTCACCAAATTTGGACTGAATACCAATGGAAGTTTCAGAAAGCTATTCAGGCTACCTATTCAGGCTAGTTGAATTCAATTAAGGAACGACCTAGCATGACTTTTAGCTGATCTTTTTGTGGGTGTTAACAGGTCTTGCTGTTATAAAAGGCATGCACATTTCCTATTAGCTATTTTCTAAGCTTATGTTTGTAGTTGCTGGGTTGAGCTGCCATATACTTAAAAAATAACATCTTTCTGTTTGCTGAACAAAAAAATCACAGCAACAGAACTGGTTTGGGATTTAAAAAAAACCCCTTTCCTTAAAAAATGTTTAAATTGAAAACAGATTAATTTTTAATAACAGATATAACAGATCTTTGACAGTGAAACATAGAAAGGTTTCAGAACTAATCTACCCCTAAGTTTTGCAAAAAAGAAAAGAAAATTGAAATGAAGATTTGAATTTTTCAAAAAAAGATCAGGTTTCACTGAAATGAGTCAACAGTCCAGATATGCTTTTTGAGTTAGAGCAGGTATTTTCATAATCAAAAAATATTGCCACATCACCTGGCATGTTTTTTAGTGTGAGATGAGAGTTGCGTATTTCCATAAATCTGTTCCTTCCACAAAACAAGGCAAAAAAACTCTAGATGCACCACAAGGTACTATTTCAGAGGAGCCAAAATCCGCATCTTTAGATTTGCAGCAACAGCACATGATAGTTAAGACTTACTGTAGACAGACTGAATAATGCACCAGAAAATTTCATTTAGGGATCTCTTTTCCCTCACCAGAAACTAAGGCAAAATCCCTTCAAAAATTTGGACAGACTGCAGATTTCTGTTAATTCTGTTCTTGGAAGTACCATTAGAGCTTTGCAAAGGCATCCAAAAAGAATGATGCAATGCAGTTTGCACAGAGGCCTAGAATTATATCTGGGCCCACTACTGCTTTACTGCCTGTTTTACATTTGTTTGACATCTTTGGTGGTGACACAGACAGTGGGACCAACAGCCCCACAGCACATTTGCTAAGCACCAAACTGAGTGGTGCAGTTGACACACCGGAGAAAAGAAATGTCATCCAGCAGGACTTTGACAGGCTTGAGAGGGGTGCCTGTGAAAACATCAAGTTTTTCAAGGTCAAGTCCAACATGCTGCACCTGAGTTGGGGTAATTTGAAGCACAAACACAGAGAATGGATCCAGGTGGAGAATGGATCAAGCCCCACTGAGAAGGAGGTGGTGGGTGAGAGGTTGAACCAGGCATGTGCACCCACAGCCCAGAAAGCCAAACTTACCCTGGGCTCCATCAAAAGAAGTGCAGTCAACCGGGCAAAGGAGGTTATTATCCCCACCCCCACCCCCACTCCTCTTTTGTAGGACCTCACCTGGAATGCTGCATCCAGCATATGACAGATGTGGACTTGTTGGAATGAGTCCAGGGGAGGGCCATGAAGATGATCAGGCAGTAGAAGCATTTCTCCTGTCAAGACAGGCTGAGAGAGTTGGGGCTGTTCAGCTTGGAGAAAGAAAGGGTCCAGGAAGACCACACTGCAGCCTTCCAGTACCCAAAGGGGACATACAGGAAAGACGGAGAGGGACTTTTCATAAGGACATGTAGTGATAGGACAAGGAGGAATGGCTTTAAACTGAAAAAGGATAAGTTTAGATTAGATATTGGGAAGAAATTCTTCACTGTAAGGATGGTGAGGTACTGAAACAGGAATCTCAGAGTAGCTATGGATGTCTCATGGTACTGGAACAGGAATCTCAGAGTAGCTATGGATGTCAAGGCCAGTCAGGATGGGGCTTTGAGAAACCTGGTTAATCAAAGGTATCCCTGTCCATGGCAAGGGGGTTGACGCTAGATGTTATAAAAAGAAGGGTTATAAAGTTATGCTAACCTTGTTATAGAATTATTCCCTGTTAGAATGTTGTTAAAACTGCTAATCACTTACCTGTGTCTTTTCCTTGTTAGAAATCCTTCTGTGCTAGGTTTGGTTTCACTGTTCTGCCGGCTGCTGTTTCCTGGAAAATGGCGCCAGGGCCTGTGAGGAGGAGATGACATCAGAGACAGTATGCAAATGCAGGAACTCCTCAGAAACCATGTTAGAATCCCCTAGAACTACAAGCCTTCACAAAATTATGGGCCGAGATGCTTGAAGAAGGGTGAGCAACTAACTCTAGTACCTAGAGAGACGCTTTTAATCTGTCACTCTAACCACCAGAGACCTCAAATAGCCTGAGGACCCTAGACTATAGTGCAGACTGTAAGAAGGGGAAGAATCCTGCCACTCCTGTGAGGACGGATTCCCTGGCTCTGCCTGCATGTGAAGCGGACAAAGCTGCATTTCCTCCTCCTTGGCCAATCTCTGGGAAGCAGCGGCGGCCCGTTGGGCCCCGACCCGAGCTGGTCTCTCTAAATAAACGCATTTTAAAGGAAAATCATCTCCTCCCCATTTATTACACTAGATGACCCCCTTTCATCCCAAACCTTTATAAGATTATATGATTTTCCTATAAACAAAAAACTAACGATGTGGCTTCATAATTAAAGAAAATAAACACGAATATCAGATGCATGCTGACTGGCACTAAAAACCGATAATGATTCAGAGATTAAGTTAGGAGGTTCCATAAATTCATGCTAGAATCCAAGCTTACATTTAACTACTTTCCCAGGTCTTTGTGAATAAAGTGCCTGTTTCTTGAATGTTTCGTAAAAGATATATAGCTCTAAACCTAAGCCACTATTTTTTAAACCTATTTTTTCTTCGACAGCACAGAAGTTAAAATATTTAGTAAATGTGCACAGTCGTATAAAGGGTCACAGAAATCAAGGGGAGCCATTTCAATGATTTTTTACTATTAGTTTTCTTTTCTATGTCACTTTCTGCAGATCTATTGAAGGATCCTTAGCAAGGAAATAGGGTCAGAAGTTCCAGTAACTTGAGGCAGTTTCCAGAAGTTAGAAGAAATTATGTTCCATCCAGCTCAATTTAAAGTTTAATAGTCTGTCTTTTCTGTAAATTCCTTTCTCATAACCACTCTTTTTGTTCCTCTTTTTTTTTCCTTCATTCCCCTTCTCCCAAGAAAGGCAAAGGCAGGCTCTGTAGCTACTACTATTCCCTTTTTCTGGTTGATAGCAAACTATTAGAAATGTTCTGGTTTTAGTTGTAACCCCTGCCATCCAAAAGAGAAGAAAGGACCAAAATGTAGTTCTGACTAAATCAGCTAATATCTCATAAATACGTTTACTTTGACAGAAATTCTTCCTTAACCTTTGGAAGAATTTGGAATGGACCTCTGAGGTTCATACTGGGAAAAAAGTTCTCCTCACTTTCAGCTGACATAGTAACATCTCCTCTGGAACAAGTTTATACTTTGTGGATGTGCTGGTTTTGGCTGGGTAAATTTTCTTCACAGTAATCAGTGTGGGTCTCTGTTTTGAATTTGCACTGAACACAGGGCTGATCATATAGAGATATTTTTGCTGTTGCTGAGCAGAGCTTACACAAAGCCAAAGTCTTTTCTGCTTTTCACACAACCACTCTGGCGACATGGATGAGGTAACTGGGAAGGGACACAGCTGTAACAGCTGAGTCCAGTTCTAGACCATATGGCCTCATGCTCAGTATATAAACTGGGAAGAAGAAGATTTTGAAGTGATGGCATTTGTCTTAATGAGTCGTTCTTAAGTATGGTAAGGCACTGCTCTCCTGGAGATGGCTGAACATCTGCCTGCCCATGGGAAGGAAGCACTGAATAAATTCCTTGTTTTGCTTTGTTTGTGTGCACTGCTTTTGATGTCCCTATTAAACTGTCTTTATCTCAACCCTTGAGTTTTCTGGCTTTTATCCTTCATAACCACCAGTCCTGTTGGTGGAGAAATGTGCAAGAGGCTTGCCTGCTAACTGGCATGAAACCACAATAGCTGCAAGACTAGGAAGAAATTGGGAAGAAAACCCCACTGACTGCTATGTATTTTGAAGACCCCAAGAAGAATTAATCCCTCTTGTTTTCAACATGAAGCAGTTTAGCTAATGTTCTTACAATAGAGGATTTTCTGCCGGTAAACTTAAAAAATGTAGTCATTGTGGGTCACTCCAATTCTAGTTACTATGTTTTTTGTCTCACATTACAATAGGAACATACCTACAAATTCCTGTCTCTGACTAGGAGAGGTGACAGTCTTCCAAGTAAGCTTTTAAGTATGTGTATTTTTCCAGTACCTAAAAACATCTTAAGCAATCTGTCCCTCGTCTCCTAGCTTCCCATTTCCTATATAATAGAGATTAAAAAGTCAAGATGCATGATCTATGCCACTAGTTTTGAGGAAAAATTTTCTTTTACATGTTTGAGGGTTTTTACCTTTTTGTTTTCCATGGCTTAATAAATATAAATAAATCTGAGTTGGTTAGCATCAGTAAACTAATGCATCTGCCTATTCAACCAAGTGCAGCACCTTCCAAATTTGAAAATAATTTAGAAATTATTTCTTAGATACCTTTTATGGTGGGTCTCAAACCTTTCTCTGCTTTCTTCTTCTGTGATTGACTTCAAGCATACAAAGGTCCATGCCTTTGACATCTCACAATTTTAACTGGGCTGCAAGTAGAATTAACTTCATTTTGCAAAAAGGAACAAGATTATTTTGAGAAACTTTGCACTGAATAATACTGGGAATTTTTGCATTTTGTCTAAAAGATGGGCTTGCTTTGAATTGCCTTTACTTATTGCAGCTAAGCTGAAATGATTATGACATACATTGTTCCATTCTGTGTTCAGAAGTGAAAATTGAAGTCAAAACTAGAAATTCTATCTGACTTTATTCTAATACTCTCATTTTAATGCCATTGCAGGCCTTATTAACAGTCCCCATTACAGCTAGTAAAAAGGGGAGGGATTTTATCTATCGATCTTATGGAATGCATAATCCCAATGATGTGTCCTTTTTGTGATGTGTTAGTATAAAGATGATAAAGATGATAGATGATAAAGTATTACTCAAATAAGAGTGATGTTCATGTGAAAAGTGGAACAGTAAAAATTCAGACCAAAAGAGAAAAAAATTTAAGCAGCACAAAACTGTGGCCTGGACCTGGATTCTGTACCAACAGAAAAATGGTGGAAAGAAACTGTAATCAACTGTTGGCATCAAGGCCTTAAAAAGAATAAATCAAAATTTACCTCCAAAGAGGATCAGGTTTTGAATGTCCTCTGAGCTAATTTCTGGTATCGAAAGAACCACTCGTGGAATCCTACTTCACACAGCTCGAAAGCAAAATCCCAAGACACCAGTTCAAAGTCTATAAGAGGTACTTATCTGAAATTATTTTCATTTGGGTTATGTTCATAATTCAGAAATAAAAACATGAAAGAGAACAGAAGAAAAAGTTCTGACAGACTGAAGCATTTTGGTTTGACCCTTTTAGGCAAAATACTTTGATATTTCATTCTGAAATGTTTTGAGTTATGCTTTGAACACTGGAACATAAAATGCGACCTTGAACCTTCATAAGGATTTTTGTGTGTGTAAGAAACTAAAATATTTTTTATTGTTTTAAAAAGAAAAATTTTTCAGACAATGATTTTCATGATCACTTTTGCTTCAATTTCCTTTGTAAAATTAAGAAGAGAAGTGGAAATTTTACCATATGAGTCTAATTTCATATGGTCAAAGATCATTTTCTCTGGTCAGTATGGAGCAGAGTAAATCTTTATACTCAAACAGAGAAATAGATGGATGGATGGATATCTATCACAAAGCCAGCAGTCAGAGAATTTTCCATAAAATTAGTCTACTTTCAGCAAATGAGATGTCTGTTCTGCTTTCAGCAAAAGAAATTGCCCAACACTACCAGCAGATCAAACCAGCCGCGAAATTGCTGAGAACTCCTGGTTGTAGTTTACATCAACTGCAGAATCTGGGCCTCATTGTGCCAAGTTTTCTCATAAAGCCTTGAAAAGTTCTATGACCTTGAAAATTTACAATTAACAACTTTGTTGAAGACGTGTACAAATCCAGCTAATGTTACTAACACAAATGGTAGACTGTGGTAATTTTGTTGGATTTCTGTTAAAATATAAAACTTTATGCTGATGCTATTTACATCTAAATAGTAAGAAACATTTCCACTTTCAGAGGTTTCATTTTTAAGATACAATTATAAATAAATGTTCAATTGATCTCAATTCTTTACCAGAGTGCAGCTAGTTAAATTATTTATAATTATCTAAGTGAATTATTTATGACTATCTAAGTAATATGCCCAAGCTAGTTTCAAAAGACCATTCCTCAGAGGCAAGCTGCTGTGGACAGCCAAGTCTCTCCATCTGCTATGAATGACAGGCAGGCAGAGGGTAAATATGAAATTAGGATGAAATTGTGATGCAATGTTTGCCTGCAATCTGCCAACAGGTTTAAATCAGCACCTGGCAGGAATTTTGGAAGTCAAAATTGTCAAGAAAAAGCCCCAAGATTAGGTCTTCAACACCTCAAAAATGTGAATGACTTGCTGGGTCTCTAAACTCGAGAGCTGTCATGTTTGTAGAAGTAAAAACTTTTTACCAAATTACCCGCAAAATAATACACTAGGAATCAAAATGAAGAGGATCTCTTTGTATTAAAATTTCACTTAAGAGATGTATATGACATTTCTATCCATTATTGCACATTTTCCCCAGATCAGTTAGATTTCCATTTAAACCCTACAAAGTCATACTTCCAGATTGTTCAGAAAGGTAACAGCTTTCTTCCCCCATCAGTATTACCCTCTTCAGAAATTACTTCAGCTCATTGGGTGTGAGTTCACAACCATAATGACATGGCAAGAAACTATCATGACCATGACAATAATTTATCCTAAATTTGTATTTTCTGCATTTTTTGTATCTCTAGTTGAACAGCTTACATATATATGAGAGTCCACTATAGACATTATGACATCCCTGTCATAAACAAAAGGCTGCCTGCTTTTGCCATGCTGAGGATATGAGAACAGTGAAAATGGTGTTTGTAAAACTATTGATGAGAGGAGTTTATTTCAGTTTCACATGCATTGGGAAATAACAAACAAGAATGGTGGCTACAACTGTGTTTTACACTGAGATTTGATGTTAACTCAATTTCCAAAGGAAAGAATTGAACTCACAGAGAGATATGATGCATGAGAAACCATCTGCATACTCTGAAATAATAAAATTTACTGAGCAGCCTCTCAGGCTGATAAAACTTGGCTGGAATCTCATGAGTTTAGTTTCTCATTCCTGTAAGTTTTTAAATATCCAGTTTTACATATAGAAAGAATGAGAACAACATTTTTGATGAAGTTGGATATGTCTGCTTCCTAGCAGGATGGAATGTGGAGACCCTGGGGGGCATCCCATGGGTTTGGGAAACACAAGGAACTTCCATCCAAAAGCCAGTAAAACCACATTTGCTCTTCCCCTGTTCCTATGTCAGCTCCTGTGTCCCTGAGCCACTCTCTCCCTATTCCCTAATTGGCCCTCATCTTTGTACTGCCTCAAGACCAGGGTGATCCCGGGTGCTTTGGGGGAAAGAAACCTGCACCCTCCATGTGTGTGTGCCTGGAACTCTGAACATCTCACTGCATGGCTGAATTAAATATCTGTGGATATTATGCAAAGGCTCTTTTTGCTTCTTTACCCTGGACTTTACTAGCAGCATATCAGGCTGCTATGGTAGAAGTAAAAAGAAGGCAAAAAGTACAACAAAATTTGAAAAAATAAAATTGCAGCAAATTATTTTATACCCTGGAAGCTACTGGACTCCAATATCAAGGGAGTAAAGTAGATTCATCTGTTCTTTCTGAATGTAGTAATTAGATTATTTGACTGTAACATTGTTGTAGCACAAGCACTATCTAGACACCCTAGAACTACATATTTGCAGATATTAATCAGTAGTTTCCCCAATACATTTTGAAATTTTATGGAAAATTCATGCTTATTGGCTTTTGATTTTAACAGAAGAGTTCTTCTT